CTAGCATTGGTAGTACCTGCTGACCCTCCTGCTGACATTGGTACTATTGCTGTTGACCTGCTCCTCCTGCTGACATTGGTACTGCTGCTGCTGACCCTCCTGCTGATATTGGTACTACTGCTGCTGACCCTCCTGCTTGACACCTGCTGCTCCTCCTGCTGACATTGGTACTACTGCTGCTGACCCTCCTCCTGCTGACATTGGTACTACTGCTGCTGACCCTCCTCCTGCTGACATTGGTACTACTGCTGCTGACCCTCCTCCTGCTGACATTGGTACTACTGCTTGCTGACCCTCCTGCTGACTGCCTGCTGCTGACCCTCCTCCTGCTGACATTGGTACTACTGCTGCTGACCCTCCTCCTGCTAGCATTGGTACTACTGCTGCTGACCCTCCTGCTGACATTGGTAGTACTGCTGCTGACCCTCCTCCTGCTGACATTGGTACTACTGCTGCTGACCCTCCTGCTGACATTGGTACTACTGCTGCTGACCCTCCTCCTGCTGACATTGGTAGTACTGCTGCTGACCCTCCTCCTGCTGACATTGATAGTACTGCTGCTGACCCTCCTCCTGCTGACATTGGTACTACTGCTGCTGACCCCTCCTCCTGCTGACATTGGTACTACTGCTGCTGACCCTCCCTCCTGCTGACATTGGTACTACTGCTGCTGACCCTCCTCCTGCTGACATGGTAGTAACTGCTGCTGACCCTCCTCCTGCTGACATTGGTAGTACTGCTGCTGACCCCTCCTCCTGCTGACATTGGTAGTACTGCTGCTGACCCTCCTCCTGCTGACATTGGTAAGTACTGCTGCTGACCTCCTGCTGACATTGATAGTACTGCTGCTGAACCCTCCTCCTGCTTGACATTGGCAGTACTGCTGCTGATGCCTCCTCCTGCTGGGCATTGGTAGTACTGCTTGCTGATCCTCCTCCTGCTGACATTGGTACCTGCTACCTCCTCCTGCTGGTACTACTGCTGCTGACCCTCCTCACTGTGACATTGGTAGTACTGCTGCTGACCCTCCTCCTGGCTGGACATTGGTACTACTGCTGCTGACCCTCCTCCTGCTGACATTGGTACTACTGCTGCTGATTCCGTCGCCGCCACACAGCTGATTTTTCACCCTCTCTATTTTTTCCTACTTCTGCTTCTTCTACTTCTTCTCGCCTTTTTTTTATCATCTATTCCAATCACACGTCAGGTATTATGTCGTGCTCTGTAATCAAGATGTCTCTCCACTGGCCTGACCTGACCTAGATGGCGAGACCTTTTACCAATCTTTCATATCTCGCGCCAAAGGTCATGAACTCTGATGCCTGTCGTTGGATCCTTTGCGCTTGACCTAAAGTTCATGGGAGTTTTGTTGGTATTATTGTTATCACTGTTGAGGTTATTATAGTTATTATTGTTTTTTATCATTATTGTTGTTATTGTTTTTATTGTTCATGTTGTTTTTTGTTATTATTGGTATGGGTGTTATTAGCGTTATTGTCATTAATATTATCATCCTTATCGTTATTATTATTTTATCATTATTATTATTATCATCATCATTAGTGTTATTACTGTTATTATTTTTATTATAACTATCATTGTTACCATTAATAGAAGTAGTAGTGTTATTAATAGTACTGGTATTTTCATCATTATTAATATGATCATTGTTATTATTATCATTACTATAATCATTATTATCATTACTGTTATTATCATTATCATTATTGTTGGTGTTGATGATGATGATGGTGTTATTGTTATTATTATTATTATTATTACTCCTGCTACTCCTGCTGTTATTATTAGTCTTATTATTATTATCATTGTTATCATTATTAGTATAATCGTTATTACTTTTATGATTGTAATTATTACTATTGTTGTTACCATTATAACAGTTATTATTATCATTATTACTATTATTACCATTATCATTAGTAGTAGACGTAAAAGTAATATTGCTATTGTCATTGGTATTATTATTGTTATAATAATTATTTTTATTATTATTATTGTTGATATGATCATCATTATCATAATCATTATTGTATCTATCATTATTACTAATAGTAGCAGTAATAATAGTAGGAATACCAGTAGTAATATTGCTATTATTATTATCATCATTATTATTTTCATCATTATAACAATGATAATAAAAATAATAACGATAATCATAATAATGATGAATAATAATAATAATAATAATGATGATAATAAATTATAATGATAATAATGATAATAATAATGATAATGATGATAATAAATAATGATATAATAATGATGATGATAATGATAATAGTAAATAATAATAATAACAATGATAATTGTTATTATTATCATTGATATTATCTTTATTATCATTATCATTATTATTATCATTGTTATTATTATTATATTATCATTATCAATTTATATTCATCATTATCATTATTATTATTGTCATTATCATTATTATTATTATCATCATTATAGTTATTATTATGATAATAACTATCATTATTTTACCATGTTATTATCATAATAATCATTAGTTATCAATCATTATTATTAAAATTATTGTTGTTCTCATTACATTATTATTATTATTATTATTATTATTATCATTATTATTATTATTATTATTATTATTATTATTATTATTATTATTATTATTATTATTATTATTATTTATTATTATTATTATATTTTATTTATTATTATTATTATTATTATTATTATTATTATTATTATTGGTAACTACCATCATCATCAATCATCATCATCATCATCATCACCATTATGTTTATTACTCTTATTATTGTTATCATTATCATTGATATTATTTTCATTGTTATTATTATCATTTTTATTGTTATTATTATAATCATCATCATCATTATCTTCATTATTATCATTATCATTATTATTATCACTCTTTCATATTATTATTCTTTTTATTGTTATTATTGTTGTTGTTGTAGCCGTTTTTATCATCATTATTATTGTTATTATTGATATAATTTTTATCATTGTGATCAATATTATCATAATCATTGTTGTCGTTATTGTTGTTGGCATTATTATCATTATTATTATCATCATAATTATCAATATTGTTATTTCTTCTTATCATTATCATTATCAGTAATTGTTGTTGATTATTGTTAATCATTATTATTGTTATTATCATTGTTATTATTACTGTTTTCATTGTTATGCCTATCATTATTGGCATTATAATTATTCTCATCATTGTTATTTCTCTTATTATTAATATTATTATTGTCATTAATAATATCATTGTTATTGATGGTATCTTGATAATCATTATCATTGTTATCATTATTGTTCTTATCATTATTATGGTCATTACTTTTATCAATATTATTAGTATTATCATCATTATCATTATCAATGTTATCATTTCATTATCATTATTATTATTGTTATTATTGCTCATTATTGCTGTTATTAATATCATCATCATCATCACCATATACTGTTGCTCTCATCCTTATTATTATTATAATTATCATCATCGTTGTTATCAAGATTGCTAAGTCTTTTCGTCGTATCTCAGTTCCCAGCGTGGAATGTTGACCCCAAATGTTATGAAGGACAGATGCCCTTATTTCAAGAACTATAAACCACCATTTAGAAAGACCCCCTTATACATTTTATACTTTCTAACAAAATTAAAAAAAAAGGTCTCTCTCTGTCAATCAACTCTCAGCTCTCTTTTCTCTTGTCTCTCTCTCTCTCTCTCCTCTCTCTCTTCTCGCTCTCTCTCTCTCTCTCTCTCTTCTCTCTCTCTCTCTCTCTCTCTCTCTCTCTCTCTCTCCTCTCTCTCTCTCTTCTCTCTCTCCCTCTCCCTCTCCCTCTCCCTTCCTTTCTCCCTCTCCCTCTTTCTCTCTCTCTCCCTCTCCTCCTCCTTCTCCCTCTCCTCCTCCTCCTTCTCCCTTTCTCCCTCCCTCTCTCACTCCTCTCTCCCTCTTTTCTCCAGCAATCCCACACCCTTCACCTTTCCTTGTATATCCGAAAGGCATTAATACTCACCATGTTTCTCTGTTTCGGGTCCGCAGCATAGCGATGAGGGTCGGGGAACACCTGTCCGTTGAGGGGGGGGAGAAGGTTGTGGGAGGTGGGCGAGGGGGGTGGAAGGAAGTTGTGGGAGGGGGGTGGAAGGAAGTTGTGGGAGATGGGCAAGGGGGGCGGGGGGAAGTTGTGGATATGGGCGGGAGGGGGTGAGGAGAAGTTGTGGAGGTGGGCGGGGAGGGGGAGGTTGGGAGGTGGGCAAGGGGGAGTGTGGGTTGTGGGTAGGGGATGTTGAGTGGTTGTTTCAGGGGTGTGGCGTGGGGGTGAGGGAGAGGGGGTGGATATGAGGTGAAGGGTATGGGGGATGTGGAGGTTGGTTGGAGTGAAGGATGTGTGGTTGTGGTGGAGGTTGAGGTGTGGTTGTGGCAGCAGCAGGCAGTAGGGGTGGTTTTAGGGTGTGGGGGAGGTGGTGGTGGTATAGGGTTGTAGTTGTAGAGGGTGTGGGGTTAAGTGTGGTAATTGTATCGAAGAGTGAAGGGGTGTGGTTGTGGTGAAAATGGTGGGATGGTTGTGGTGAAAATGGTGGGGGATGGTTGTGGTGAAAATGGTGGGGATGGTTGTGGTGAAAATGGTGGGGATGGTTGTGGTGAAGTGTGGGGGTTGGTTATGGTGACAGTTGTGATGACTACGGTTGTGAAGATGGCTCGACGGTTGTGGTTCCAAATGCTGTGACAACTGTGATGACATTTGCGGCCGAAGACTGTCGACGATGACTGTGATGACGACTGTGATGACGTCAATGGTGTCTGTGGTGACTGAAGGTGGAAATTACAAAGTGATGGTCTAGTCAGGAAGAACAGTGAATGAATGGGTGGATGGATGGATGAATGGATGAGTGATGAGTGGATGGATGGATTGATGGATGAGTAGATGGGTGGCTGAGTGGATGAGTGGATGGATGAATGAGTTGATGGATGATTGGGTGGATGGATGGCTGAGTGGATGATTGGGTGGATGGAGGGCTGAGTGGATGGGTGGGTGGATAGATGTGTGGATGGGGATGGATGGATGGGTGGATGTGGATGGATGATGAGTGGGTGGATGGATGGAGTGGGATGGATGGATGAGTGGGTGGATGGATAGGTTGATGAATGGATGGGTGGGTGAAGGATAGATGTGTGATGGGTAGATGGGTGATGAGAGGATAATGGATGTGTGGATGAGTGGGTGGATGGATGGATGTGTGGATGATGATGGTGGATGAGTGGGTGATGGATGGATGGATGGATGGATGGATGGGTGAGTGGGTGGATGGATGGGTGGATAGATGGGTGAATGGGGGGATGGATGTGTGGATGATTGGATGGATGGATGGGTGAGTGGATAGGTGGGTGGATGGATGGATGAGTAGATGGGTGGAAGAGTGGTGGATGGATGGATGTGGATGATTGGATGGATGGATGAGTGGATGGGTGAATGGATGTATGAGTGGATGTGTGGATGGATGGATGTATGATGAATGTGTAGATGGATGGATGGATGGATGAGTGGACGGATGAATGGGTTGACGGACGGAGCGACGGCGGGCGGCAGGCTCTTCCCGCGAGGCGCCTCCCCCGAGGGCGGCGGAGGCGTCGCGCCCTCGCCCTTCCTTGGGCGTCGTGCTCCCGCGGCGGCGAGGCCTGCATGGCCCGCCGGCCGCCCGTGGCCCCGCCCGCCGCCGCCCACCCGCTGCTCCGCCGCCTCATGCATTCGCTGTACCCTCTGTACTCGCCGCTGTACCCTGTGTACCCTGCGCGGCCCCGTCGCCCGGCGCTGCGGCAGGCGGCGCGGGCGGTCCTGCGACAGGCTGAGTCCCCTAATTGAGCGCGGCGGAGCGGCGTGTCCGCGCGTGGCCGCCGACGGAGCGCCTCGCACTCGGCGCGTC